CGCCTCGATCGTACCGGGGACAACCGTGCGCGCACAGGGCTCGAGATGCGGAAAGTAGGAATTGAAGGATCACCGATGATCGTTGACGCTGCAAGCGGGTTGACATTGCGGGCGGCAGGTTCGCTTTCGCGCATTGCGTGTCGGCTCATTAACCCCTTTGCCAGTGAATGTCGTTGAACGAGGGGTCGCAGGAATTTCTCTTGCTAGACTGAGAAAAGGGGTCATCGCGTCAGTGAGAAAGTAACATTTCATTGTTATTCTTTGCTCTCGAAGGGCAGGCTTTTGACACTGGGCTCACGGAACGCGTCACTTTGACGCATATTGGGTTTCATAAACATTATTTAGTAAGTTTTTGCATCAATTTCGGTTGATGCCATTATACGAGTATTTATCTCAACTGTCTGCCTTTAAACTAACTTCCAAGACCTAAACAAATGGATAATTTCTCTAGGAACAATAGAGTAAACTGTAAACCCAGCGATAATGTTGCTTGTTTGTTGCCTTGCTTTTTCGTTATTTAGTATGCGCAATGTAGCTTCTGATGTTTAAAGGATCACTTGAGTATAAAAAGCTTGTGTATATTCTTTCTATAATTCGTGATATTTGTAAAAATAAATTTAATGTAATCTCCGTGTAAAAAATATTACATTTAGAATGTTCTTGAAAATAGAGGAAACGGAGATTTTTAATTTTATAAATCTATGGTTGTTTGCGAGGTTCAGATTAACAGAAAATTTGACGATCATCATTACATAGACAATTATGTAAAAGTTCAAGAATGTCAGACTTTAGACACATATTTTGTTTGAAATTTCTTTAGCAACGTGAGTTTAATTGCTATATATCCGTAAACGTTACTAGTAGAATATTTTACATTCGAATTTAATCATTCCATAATTTTTTTTAAGTCGATGATTTGCAAAGTATTTCCTTTTCAAAGTAATCGAACATTCAAAGTGTTTGATCTCTCGGCTCGGACGCCGGTTTTGGCGCTCTAACGGCCTCGAATCGGCGCCGGAACTCGTTAATCGACGAGTGCGCTATAAAAGACAGATAATGTATTGCGGATGAAGCGCCGGCATGCAAATAGAGTATTAATTTGTGCGCGGATAACGTTGTTAGTAAGCGTCGATGCAATTAGGCCGTTGTAGTGGCGCTTTGCGATCGACACTCCAATCGCGGAGCCGATTCCTGTAATATTGATCATCGTACATATTTGACCGTATTCGTTGCAGTTAATTATTCAAACTAATCTATCGCGATTGTGCGATAGCGGACGTGTCTATTGTTTGTTAACTGTGGCCCGACGCGTTTGCGTGTCGGGTGTTTGCGGTCCGTTAGCGTTTTCAGTAATTGAATCGACGTTGAGAAAAACGGGATACGCTTCGAACTTCTAACTGGTTGTATACCAGAATTATTCTATCAGTTTTAGTGTCTACCAGGTGCTGAGTAAAAAATAATCCATAATAAATATGACCTGTCACGAGATTTTCATTGCATTCAGTTCTCACGAAGCGATTTCAATATCAAATTTTGTGCTGAACTTTTTTAATGAAATAAAGAAGAAAATATTTAAAGAAACGCTGTTAGGTCAAAATGGCACGTTCGTCGTACAAAAATTACTGTAACAATACATTGTGTTATATATTAAAATATAATCTTATTATACAGATTGTAATACTGCTAACTAACATCTCTCTGAGATTCTAACTAAATCTCGGTCACATATCATGTCACTATAAGAATTCACCTTCAAGCCCGGCAACCGATAAAATATTTTATCAAAGCATTAATATTTTTACATTTTAATTTATTCTTTTTATTCTTATCGAAGAGTGACAACTTTCGATTTTCTTTACTGGTCTCAGCTCAGGCTTACGCGTTCCAGAGTATTCACTCGCAGAACCGCCAAGGTTCCTTTTCATTTGCATCCGCGATTCCTGTTACTTTTCCGCGAACAATGGCCGTCATTGTGAGAAAGTCACATGGCTGTGCGTGTAATCGATTCGATCGCCGCGTATTAATGACTAAACGTGCTCTCGTATATACCGGGGCATGGGCGAGCTCACGTGCCCATTTGCCGGTCGTCACGTGCGGTACAATCACCGCAACGTAACCCCGAATTTCATGACGTTTTTACGGTATCCCCGCGAATTGTTCGCGCTCAGTTTACAATTGCAAGGGCCGCCCCTCGGTGTTTCTTTTTCAATCAATCCGACCGTGTTAACTGGCCCACGCATTTAAATACGATATGGAAAGCTTTTTACGGGCCATTGAAACCCGACGCCTCGTGTAAACTACATAATGAACAACACGCTTCACTGACAGTAGCATCGCGACCAATTTGATGATTTCGCGGGCAAGGATTAGTTCAAAGCGTATCATGTTTTTCATATTCTTGGCACGTTTCCCGGATTCTCCGTTTTATTGACGTCTATTATCATTGTGTATGAAGTTTACAACCTGCTAGCCAAAAATTTATATATAAATTCAACACGGAAGATACGAAGAAGAATACAGAAGATTTATGTTTGGAAGTAATTCTTAATACAAATTTCCTGAGAAACAGAATCATATTGTTATAGAATATTATTAATTGTGCCAAGAAAGATTAATTGATCTTCTGTTTTAAAAAATGTATTTTCACAGATATCGTCTTTATTTAGAAATACTGAGTTCTAGATATCAATGGGTAATACTATTAATCATAACAGTGTCTTCTGTCAAGACATAAAAATCAGATATCCATTTCTCTACCTGCACGTTTTAAAAATGATTTTCTCATACATCAATACTTCTTAGAAAAATTATTGTTCTACTTCATACTTGATTTTTAACTGAAAAAGTCAATCTACAATCGTTCACAAAAGTGTTCGAAAATGTCGCGGAAAGAGTTTACTTTCAAATTGATGCGGCGATCGTGAATCGTTCTGAATATTAGTTTGTACATTTCTAATAAGTTCTAATTAGAGTACTTGTACTCTAGTACTCTTGTTGGCGGGAATTCGAGATTCGGTACTCGTTTCTTGATTCGGCGCGCCTCGAACCTCCTCCTCACTGTCCCCTCTCATTAATTGGACCATTCATCATGGTTGCAGACGGAGATCGCCAAGAGGCTGAACGCGATAATCGTCCAGCTACTCCCGTTCCTGGCACAAGAGGTGAGTCTTTGACTTTCTGTTTGGCACGTGTGCCGCGCAATCTCACGATCGAGAGTGACAACGACGCGATAATGATAGCATGGCTTGCAGCATCAGCAGCAGGTGGCCAATGCCGTAGAGAGGGCGAAGCAAGTCACGACGACCGAGCTAAACGCTATTATTGGGGTGAGCTTCTCTCTAAGATTGATTCTATTAACTTCCTCGGTTCTGGCAAGCGCTCGGTGCATTGATCTTGGCACAGTTTTTCATATGTCACACGAGTCGCTTGCATACCGATTTCATTCTTGAAACGTAAACTCACGATTAAAACGGGTAGCCACCGATACGACTAACGGTTGCGAACCTCTTTTGCAGCAACAACAGGGTCTTCAGCAGCTATTGGTGAGTTTCCTTTTATATTAAAACCATTTGTAGGTGTAGATGGTTCTTTAATTCGAAAAAGATAAATACAGTATTCTCTTTGTATAACAATGTTTGAACTGGCTTGTTCCTAGTTCAGAAAAAAGAGTTATACTTTCTATCATCATCTAATCTTACTAGTTTTTAGATAGAACACTTCAACCACAAAAATAATGAAAAATCATAATCAGAAAGAATACTGTATCGAAATAAACATTACCAACACAAAGTCCGAGACGCACTTGAAGAGTGCTTATAGGAAACCTTGTGAGTGCCAAACATTAAACTTTCCAAGAAGAAGGGAAAAGTAGCCCAACTCTGAACGTATCACCTTTAACCCTATCAGAAACAACTTATTAAAGGATCATTGTCCTTAACACTAAAACTACCGGATAGGTCAAATTGACCTACTTCAGGATTTTCATTTTGCAACGATTTAAATTACGAAGACGTGTTTGCGAATGTTTTTAAATTAAATTTGTGCATTTATACAAAACTAGGAGACTCTTCGAATATCACGAAACGAATTGTTCTAATTTTTATCATAAACTGACAAAAGTCACTCTAATTGTTCAGTAGTTTTAGTATTAACCTTTCGCACTCGTATGTCATTCTGGGAATGACAATACAAATTTGTTATAGAACGTTGGAAATTGTTTCGAAAGTTATCATACTTTAAAAGGTGATAAAAATTCAATCTTATGATAATAACTTTTAATAATAACTGAAATACATATAAAACATTTAATTCTACCGACGTAAATTACTTTAATTCATTTCCCCAAAAATAAGTACAAGTTTACATCCAACAACAGTGACAATAAATCGAGTGCAAAGAATTAAATCGTCTGTTCCACAAGAAAAAAACTAAAATCCTCGAACGTTGGCACTTACAACGTCTTCTACAAGAACTCCTTCAGCACTAGTACGAAAAGGAACGTGAAACGTGTCGATTGGCCGATGTTACAGCAACAGATTCACGCGCAGCAGCTGCCACACGGCGCAGTGGTCGGCGGTCTTCCGCCGGCCGGGCTGTTGGGGTTCGCAGGTGCGGCCGCGGCGGCCGCAGCCGCGGTGGTGCCGCCTCATCTCGCGCCGCCGCCGCATCCGGCGGCCGCGGCCGCGGTCCAAGCACAGGCGCAGGCGCTCTTGAAGCCGTCGGACCTGCAGCAGCATCGGGCGGCCGCGGAGACGCCCGAGGACCGTAAGCCGATCGCCCTCACCGACGACAGGCTCAGGCGATCCGTGTCGCCGCCGGAGAAATTCCGCAGCCGCACCCCCGACCTCGTGAGCGATCCCAAGAGGCGGAAGGAGGAGAAGCTCGGAAACGTGAGTTTAATCCTTCGTTCGCCTGTCCGCTTATCTAGCCGCTGAAGCTGTTGCTTATGAGATGCCCGGGTACATAAGATAGTTGAGACTAGATATCTATTATTTCTTGGTCGATTAAGTAATTGGATACTTGGTATATTTTATCTGAGTATCTTGCCCACATTCGTAATATTAATAATTGTTATTATTATTAAAAATAATATATTATTAAGTTATTAATAATGATGAGACATAATTTATTATTACCAATTGTTTATCATTAGTTATTTCTTAATAATTCATTATTAGTATTGATAACAGTAATAATAGATTTTCTTGTGATAAATAACAAAAGGATAAAGTAATTATTTTATATCGAACATTGATTTTTAAACGAAGGTATTAATAAGCCTAACTTTCTGTTATTAGGTTCGTCCGCTTTGACTAACTCTAGTCTCAGCTATTTCATTGAATACCCGAGTGTCCGGGTAGTTGGATGTCTCGTAAGATACTCGGGTATCTCATGGGTACCCGGATACTCGAGTATCTCATATACCCGGTTGAAGGTACTAGATCTACTCTGGGCGTATACCCGCGCTACGTATGCACCGGCCGCTTTTGTCTTTGCGCACGCGCCCGCGCGCTCGCGCTGCGCCCGCTTCGACCCACCTGTTACGCGCCATTTAAGAATCCCTCCGAGAAGAATCCCGCGCGTTAATCCTTTCGCATCGGAACTCGAAATTAATTTACGACGTGACTGGGGATCCTCGGGATGATCGGCTTTTTCGCCTTGGGATCGGTGTCTATTGGCGTTTTAAAGTGCGATGGATGTTTTGGGAAGGGGGATTGGAATTTTTGGGGGAAGATTGGTGTTCCCTTTTTTTTGGTAGGGGATTCTTGAAAGGATTTTGCGCTTCTAATAATTGAGGGGGCATTGGATACTTCAATATTATTCTCCTTTTTTCAATGTTTAACAAGGAGTGTTAGGTTTAGCGGTTACGTGATTGTAACTGATCGCGAGCAATTATAATTGGCTGTTTCAAGAGACAGTAGACGAAAAATAAACTTTTTAATAAGTGAACTGCTACAGAAAAGATTGTATCTCAGATATTAAGAATAATATTTTCTTCGAATCCTTGGATCTGAATTGGTAATATTTTAATTTCGTAATTAATTTATTGTGTGAATCGACATTAAAATAAGCTCCATACGTGCAACTAAGTTACATATTTTCGAAATATGTAAATTGATTCAAAGTGTACTTTTAATTAAAATGAAATTGACCTGGACAAACAATGGAAATTAATACAATAAGAAGGGAACAGAATTTAATGAAGGTTAAATAAAACTCGTATACTAACTAACATTCAATATGATAGTGATTCTACAACATTTATCAAAATTGATATAAAATAATATTTTACCCTTCCTTCCAATATTAAGTCGCTCTCATAATTTTAATCGTTAATGTATGTCACACCCAAATTTATTTCCGCATTCCTGTCGTAAATTGGTCTCCTGTATTAATAATATTGTTCGGAGTTTACAAACTTCATTTTTATCGGACATCAAGCGATCAGGATATGAATAATGCACAAAAGGATGATCCCCGTTCCGGCAGACGCGTACGAATTTCCCCAAGAAGCGAATGGAGATAATAAAAGCGGCAATATGGCTCTCGTGGAAGATGGAAAGGTATCCTTGTACATCTCTGCGCAAAGTCCACTTTCGTAGGAACACATCAAACCCGCCGATGCATTTCAAAGCGTCCGCGGCCGAAGTTGAACCGAATAAAACTGGAGTCGTCGTATTACGCGACCGGTTGCAACGTATCGTCAAAATGTCCCGACCAGGAACGATCAAACTTTGAAAATATTCGGTGGTGGTCGGTCCCGAAAATCGGTACGAGCGTTCCGCGTTCTAGGAACAGAGAAATTCTTGATAAAAAGTTAAACGTGTTCGGCAAAGTACACTGAACTTCCATTCTTCAAAAGCAAACTTTGTTGCCGTTGCTATATTCTCAAAGACAATCGCAGTAACTAAGCTTTCCTTCATTGAATTTAGACGCAGTGCACAAAACTCGATACAAAATTAAGTACCTTTAACAATTTTCTTTATCAACACAATTTACTCGATATTTTTATATTATATACAGGGTGTTTCTAAATTATTGCGCACAAATGATAGGGCGTATACAATCCACTAAACTGAGTAAAAAATACTCTGTAACCGAAAGTCCAATGTGACCTTTGCAGGCTAATTCAAGATCACGTTACGGTTAAATACTTCCTGCCGTGATATGCAGTATTTCATACCCTGTAACTTTTGTTTGATACATTTCTTCGTATCATTGATAATTTTCAAGGTAATTCGATGTTCTTGATGCGGCGCTTGTACGTTTTTTCTTTAAACAGAACCCATTTTTATCTCGGAAACTATTGAATTCTGGACCCACGTTTACCGAGGTTTATTTACTTAGTTTAGTGAATTGTATACGCCCTGTCATTTATACGTAATAATTTAGAAATATTCTGTATACGTACTCCCTAAAATCTAAAATATTTTATATAATAAAAAGTAATACTATCTCCGAAAATTCGGCTAATTCAGTCCTCCTTGTTACATATATCCGCTGATTCTATCGTCGACGCTCAACACCTAACTAATTGCTTTAACGCGGATCGAAACAAAAGAAACCTCCACTTCCTCAAGCAAAAAGAAAAACTTCCCGCCATCGCAACTGACAAAATCATTAAATTTAAAGGACACACTACGCCGCGCCCAGCAACAAAGGGTACCACAGTGTATTTCCGAGGGACCCGAAGCGAGCGCGACAAACGGTTTAAAGTGCATCGGTCGAGTCACTGGCCAGTAACAAAACCTGCAGTCGCACAGTTTCTTCCTTCGTCACGGCTCCATGAAATATCCATGAAAACACGCTCCTTTGTCAGGATCGCGACGACAAAGTGCGCGACCTCGCGCGCAGCTTGGTGGAAGAGGACGATGGGGGGGCGTAATTAAAAACCGTGAAAACAGGCGAACTCCGGAGGCCGCGTCGCTTCGCTCTTGCGTGCTCCTGCTAAATTGGATTATTTTTCTGAGGCTTGTTCCCTGCCTCTCTTCCTTCAGCCGGGGGTCCCGGTGCTTTTCCCTCGACCCAGGACTGCCAACCGACGATTAAAGGACTCCTTCGCGGACGCGCGCCGCTTTCGCAGGATCCCCCTTCCTCGCCTTCCCCCTTTCCGGCCTGGTTTTCCGCCGGACTCTCGCGCCCTTTTCCGCGTCGCCGCGAAAGTGACGCGTCGCATAATACGCGTGGCGACGCGCCACCCCCTGGTCGCCGCGAAAAGAGCAACCTTTCTCCTCCCTTCGGTTGCTGCACGCCTCCGGTTCAGTACCCGTGGAAATTAAAGAGGCTTTTCCGCGGCCGGCTTGCCTCGGATTAACGGCCGACCGGATTCTTCATATTTTGACGGGCACGGAATGTAAATGGTTATTTATACTCCCCGTAACTTGGTGATTAGGGTGTTGAGCGCATTGAATGGACGATACTCTACGCGCCTCGGATAAATAAGCCGACGGTCGGGTTGCTGGCAGGATGGCGCAGCGAATTGCGCTCGTGAAGCGTCGCGTTTTGACGATTGATATTGATGGAATTCGGAGTCTCGCTTGTGCGCTAGTAGCGTGATTTTTAGTTGACTGTGAATTTTATTGGCTAGGAATTTTGTCACCTTTTCGATTGCTTTGAAGTTTTCACGGCGAGGTACTATGATAAGTGTTTCCGGGTATTAGCTGTGTCCATTACAAATGATTTCCCGACCTTTCACTAATATTGCAGTTGGCATCGTTGCAGACGAAGACGTTACGCCGAGCAAGTCACACGTTTAAATAGAAAGCACTCATTCTGGCTAACTGATATCAGTGAGTCCTCTGACTCCTAATAATGCTAGCCGCAATACCAGCGAAATAGTATGATATGGCGCTTATCATTTGTCACCTGTTGTTTGATCTTTCGATTTGTGGTATTTTATTAACGGTGTTATAACATTATCAATTTAATTAATTTTATGACCCTCAATATTTTATATTCTATGTAAAAAGAATGGAATTACTTTTCGACGAATATCATGTTTTTCACTCACATTTTTTTCAAATGAAAATTATAGCTTTTTATATCTTCTTTCTATCTCATAGGACACCTAATCTTTGAATTTTCATAACGTCTGTAGTTCTTCAAATACTGTGAGTCTATTCTTAATAGAGACTCGTTTCAATCTCAGAGCGAGTAACAGTAGCCTTCAGTCCCGTTTAGGGGTAGAAACGTTCAAATTGTCTCCGAGTTGGTCGAGCGGATACGCGTACCTGTCGTGCTCAATTGTCGCGTCGCGCCTCGAAAGTCGCAGCCGGCAACCCCCTAATCGTAAGTCACGCTCGTGTGATTTTCCTCTCTCCTTCTTTCGGCTTCCTCCCTCTTTCTCTCGTGCGATGTCGCACCCCGTCTTTCCTGGCTCGCCCCTCGCGCGACCCGTCTTTTTCTATCTGGTCGCCGAGGGAACTAACGACGCGTCGTTTACACGGCCAATCCCACGGAGCCCAAGGGTGCATAGAAGTTTGTTTGAAGTTCAGGCACTGACCGGACTCCGTCATCAACTCCATTTACCCGCGCCGGTGTAGGAGTATAACGAATGGCCGCGATCGACCCGCTCATCCCTTGTACAGGGTGTCCAACACAATTGGAACATGCTGTATCTTTCAAGTTAAAAATAGAAGAAAATGTTAGAAGATGAAATTAATGCTAAACGTATCCGCACTTTATATGTACCTATTCCTACTGTAATCGGTCAAATAAAGCTCTTAGTAGAAGCTTTCTTAGTAAAAGCAGAAAGAAAAAGAATGACAAAAATTGAAAAACTGATTAATCAGACAAAATAGAAATTGATATAAAATTAAATGAATAGAAGAACATGAAGAATTTTGAATGAAATTTTGAAAACGTTCATGTGACCGTTATGCGGCACGTT